AAAAAAAAAAAATTACACTGTTGGCTATATACTGAGAATGTGACAAAACACATTCAGTTAAAAGAAGGAATCCCATGGCGGGACTGATTAAAAAGGAAACTTGTGTAAGGCTGTAATCACTGAGTATACACCAAGAGTGTCTAAAACAGTGCTTCTTAACCCTTGGGTCGTGACCGCTTGAGTCTAATGATCTTTCCACAGAGATTATGTAAGACCATCAAAAATGCAGACATGTTCATCACAATTCATAACACTAGCAAACTTGCCGTAATGAAGCAGCAACGAAAATAGTTTTATGGTTGGGGGTCACCACAACATGAGGAACTATATTAAAGGGTCACAGCATTTGGAAGGTTGAGAATGACTAGCCCAAGAGAGTCAAAACAACGTACAGTAGGGCTACAGTTACACATGGGGCTTATCTCTGTATTTAAGAGGTTAAGGTGTCTTTTTCCCTTCTTTGAAAAGAATTTTCAAGTTTCCTAGAACAGTTTTCAGCACCAAGCTGCCTTAACATCAAGACACTCTTCAGGCTGTGGCGACTAAGAATAGATTGGATTCCAAAGAATGAAAGTCCTTGCGGGACTTTCTGGCTCTGCTTGGCATGGGTGGGGTAGGCCTGTAACCAGCCTGAGAAACTGCCAGCCAACAACAGAAGATAGTTAGACCCTTTACAGGGGAGCATTTGCGTGAAATCTGTTTGCCAGCCTTTTCCTGTGAAATGCTCCTGCCCTCCACCCTAGGTTATGAAATGGTGGCAGTTTAAGCTTAAGCTCCTGCCTTATTGTAGAGAAGGAAAGTACAGACCTTTATGGCATTTTTGGACTGTGGAATTTTGGCTCTTTTCCCCAAAGGCACAAGTGAGTAGGACAGTTAATGGCTGTCTTTTGAGGTGCCATGACTCACAAAGTCTCTCAGTGATCACTAAGAGCAAGAGGATCTTGTTCTCCTGAGTGAGCCCTCTAGCCAGTTTTAGTAAGTTGATCTCATCCCCTCACTGAGAACCCTGTTTCCTTTGTTTCTGTGTTTAATGATTCAGGGCAAGGGGTTTTCAGAACCCATGTGTGGCCCTTAAGTCATTATGTGGTTGTTCAGTTAATAAGCATTCCAGCTACCACAGAGTTTATTTGGGATTTTTACACTATTATTGTTGTTGTTGTTGTCGTTGTCTGTATGTGTGTGTGCGTGCACTCCATGGCATGTATATGGAGGTCAGAGAACAATTCTGTAGAATAGGTTTTCTCCTTCCGCCTTACATGTGATCTGGGAGTCACACTCGGGTCATCAGGCTGGAGTGGCAAGGTCCTCTGCCTGCTAAGCCACCTTGCTGGTCCTGTGTGGAACTCTCAGGGGTCATGTTTTAGGAGAAACCCCAAGGTTGGGGCTGGCGATAACAGCACCTTCAGTTCGGATGTGTCTCCTCCGGCATTGGTTCCTACACAGCGTCACAGTTTGCTTCGGAGTCCTGAGTTATCTATGGGAGTAGACAACAAAGGCCCGGTACAGAAAAGAGAATTCCCATCTTAAAAGGATATTTTTCTAGTTACGTGTAGATGGAAAGTTGAGTGTGAGACAGGTGTCTGAGACTCCAGAAGAAGGTGTCCAGTCTCTTGAAACTGGAGTTGCAGGTAGTTGTGGAAAATTCAGGCCCACCACTGACCAACTCTTCAACTCCAGAAAACTAGTATTTTTATCTGCCATATCAGGGGTCACCTGAGGCCCCTCAGTGGTTGTCTGCAGTGGCTCAAAGAGGAATTCACTTGGGGCCCTTTCAGAAGGTCCATCCTCTCTCCGGGGAGTGGGCAATGCCCTGGTGGTTTCTTAGACCCCTGCAAAGAACAGTTCTTTTCCGGTGCATAGGCTAGCAACAGCTGTGGTCCGTTGGAATCCTCTTGTCCCAGTGTGTCTCTGAGGGGCCAGGTTCTTAGCTGCCTGAGGAAATGTGTTATTCCTCAGGGCTAAAGGCATCAACTAGCTGTCTTCCTATGGCTGTAATTGCCTTGCTTGGCCATTTTGAACTGCAAATAAATTTTTCTCAGTGGTTGAAAATGTCAGATGACAAATTTACAAGATGGTTTGGGATCCCATTGTCCGGCTGCAGAGAAATTGACCAAGTAACCTGAATGTGAGCTTGAAGATTCTTATTTTAAGAGTCTTTCATTTCAACCCACTTAAACTTACTTCTACATGTGCTTCTGCTTTCTGGTTTTGTCCACACTTCTTGCTATTCCATTTTGGAACAATCCTCTTATTTTAGGTCAAAGTTATCACCTAAAATCATCTAAAGCATTTCCTTTTCTTTTAAGCTTCTTTACCAAACACACATTTCTAAGTTATAACCTTCCATCTCTCTCTTTCATGCTTCATGACTCCTTTCCATCTTTTTTTTTCTTTTTATAAAACTCAGAAAACATTTCTTCTTTAATAACCATATTTCCATGAAAACCCATGAAGCTCTATGTGTAACACAGGCAGAACATGTTAATAGTCTAAAGACACTTGATTTTTTTTTCCTTCTAACAGATTTCAGTTAATGCATTTGTTAGGGATTTCAGTGCTGCTGCCACAGGTATTTAGGGACTGCTTTTGTCAAAAGGCACCCAATTTTATTTGGGCCCAGAATGCAGCCCACAGCTGAAGAAAGCCTTCCTTTTGCGTACCTATCTCTTTTCCTTCCGATCACGTGCGTATAAGCATGTTAACCACTCCAGGAAAACTGAGAGCACAAACAGAAGTTATTGTCCACAGCCTTGGATTCCAGGAAGCTTAGAACCTGACAGACCCAACTCCAGATGCCAGCAATCATCCATGAAGGTGGGGCCACACCCTGGAGCATGAGCAATTATCCCCTGAAAGCCAGCTGTCCCTCCAAGCAATAAGGACTTTTATTTTAACGACACTGTAGGACCAAAAACAGAGGAAAATCAACAATACCACACCTTGACTGAGACTGCCCGGTTAAAAAAAAATACCTATTTGTCTATTATTTTAAACCCTTTCTACTTAAATCATGTTCATGTCAGTTCCCAGATGAACCAGGGCACGCTTGGCCTCTCTGTTAGTTCACCCTTTCTGACTGTCACCATTGCTCATCTCTTCAACTGTTCAGCGGAGAAAAGGAGGCAAGCAAGCTTCACCTGCTGGGGCTGTCAAGACCACGACTCGTGTTCTCTAACTCCTGTCACAATGTGAGCTAGAAAGCACTTGGGCCAGTTGAGCATTTCAGTTTACATGAACAATCACTACTTTATCTCCTAAGATGATTTGATGCCACGTAAATAATATGCAAACACGAGCACACATGTAGACGCTACATGTGAAACAGACCAAAGGTTCTGTACCTCTCGTTTATGTTTATCACTTGTTAGCTTGTTGATTTGATCATTTCCTCCACAGCACTAAACAGTCCTCACTCTAAAATCTGTGCCTCCAAAGGAGCAGCCCTTAATAACAGAAGGCACAGAGTGCATCTCAGAGGCGTAATTGCTGACGGGGCTCATGTAGACAGCCGGGGAAGGCTAAAATAGAAAGTTTGTGCAGAAGTTGCTCGATGTTTATTTTCCTATTGTAAATCTGAACCACCGAAGGAGAGGTGATGGTGTTAAAGACAAAATTCCAGGGCTGGAGAGACGGGTCAGCCATTAAAGGCACTGGCTGCTCTTTCAAAAGACCCTGGTTCAATTCCCAGCACCCACACGGCAGCTCACAACTGTTTGTCACTCCATTTCCAAAGGATCTGGCATCCTCTCAGAGACATGCATGCAGGCAAAAATCATCAATGCACATAAAAATAAATAAATCTTTGGAAAAAAAAAGATAAAATTCTCTGAAATATTACTTTGAGCCACATTCCTCCCCTTTTTAACTTATACTGAGACTAAACTACGTTCCTTTTGTCTGTTGTGTATCTGAGATAGCACACTGGGTTTCCAACCTGGGCTAAACAATCTAATGGCCTATCTCATAGCCATTAACCAACTACAGCTCGGGTGAATAATTTTTCCCCAGGCTTCCCTGCAGCTGAATACATGATTGTGTCTCATTGCACATTTAAAGAGATGGCTGCAGTCGACAGATGCGGTTTTAACCTTCTCATGAAATGAGAAAGCCTGAGTCTAAATTTGCCTGTTTGGGCATTGGCTCCTTCTCGAAGCCTCAAAAGATCCTGCTGTGAGGCTCCAGAATTAACATGGTGTCTGTGTCTTCAGCAGAAGGAATGTTGTCTCTGTTGGCAACCTTTCTTTGTTACTTGTGCTGGAATTCTTGACTTTCAGCTTGTAACGTGCTTCACATGATTTGGGTGGAGCTTGCAAAGACCAGAAAAGATCCCAAAATGACTGTGTCTTTCCATTCTCACTTCCAGGCCAGCTCCTACCCCTAATTCCACTTACTAGCTGTGTGATCCAAAGAAGGCCCTAGTCTTCAAGAAGACCTCTGAGGAAGGGGGGGCTCCTTTCCCTCTAACAACCTCTTCATTTTCCCTGTCTTTCTAGCCCACCATAATCTTTGTACTCATTTCCTGTTGCATTCTTGGCCCTCTTCTTCCTGTTGCATTCTCAGTCTTGTTCCCTCTTTTTACCGTGTTGAGTATTATATAGCCAGGAACAGAATTCTGAGCTCTACCCTGGGACTTCCTGAACCTCCTAGCTTATAAATACCAGGCCAGGCCAGTGAGTCAGGATGCAGTGAGCAGAACTCCTCAGACCAGCTGGTTCTGCCCTCCAGGAGGATGAGGAACTCCATGACTGCCATTTCATTCTTTATTCTCATGGCTGTCCTTGGATCCCAGGCTGAGCTCCTACGTGGTGAGTTCACTGAGCTGTCACACCCAGTGGGCATGCCTGTGGGAACTTCAGAACTGGCACCAGCCAGAGGAGACCACTGCCCTCCTGGAAATACTCTCTATCCTTGACACGGTGCTGGAATTTACTTAGGAGCAGTACCATCTGCTTATAGACCTGCCTCTGTCGGTAGCCTTTAGGCCCTGGAGGAAAGGAGACACAGAGGGTGGGTCCCATTTGGGTAAACAATTATGCTGACTCCCAACTAAGGGTTAAAAGGAGGGGAGTGGGAGGGAAGCAGACTTACTCGGTGCATGACAGAAGTGTCAGACATCGCCTGCAATAACACTATCTCTTTGGAGAAGTGGGACAGGTAGGTAATCAGCTCAGCCTAAGATTACTTAACCATGCTGTTGTTTGTTTGTTTGTTTTCATTTGCCTTAAGTTTTAAGATTAAGACTATTAAGTGGCGGAATTAGGGTAGGAGCTATCCTGGAATGGGGTATAGAAGGATGTGGTCATTTGAGATCTTTTCTGGGTTTTGCAAACTCCTCCTAGAACACATGCAGCATGTTTCAGCATATCTGCATGCCTCTGTAATGTAAGCCATGCTGTCTACGCCATCTCTTGGTGTCCTGGGGGCCTAGACCCACGTGACTATCAAAATCCACAGATTTTATATCCACTCATAACCCACATGCATCTTCATCTGTGCGTTTAAAAACTCTCGATATTTGTAAGACTTAAAACAATTTAAATGTCTCTAGCGTTTCTATTGTATTTCAGGAAATTTTTCCTTGGTTGACTCTGTGGATGGGGAGGCTCCAGATATGGTAGAACAACTCTATAAATAAATATGTGTATATATATATATGAACAATGGAAAACAATTGCTGGGTGAGTTGAGAGCTTAATCCTTACTGCCAAAATCATTAACTTATGCTTTGGTATAAGAGGTGAATACCAATTTTTTTAGTTAGATCTATTTCATTTTTATTTTTGTGCCTGTGTGTATCCGAGTGTGTGCATGCATACATGGATGCAGATTCCTTTGGCAGCTAGATGATGTTGGATCCCCTGGAGCTGGAGTTACAGGCAATATGATCCACTTGACATGAGTGCTGAGAACTGAATTCTGGTCCTCTGTAAAACCAGCAAGTGCTTCAATTACTGAGCCATCTCTCCAGCCACCAAATATCAACTTTTTAAATATCTTTTCAACTGTGATAACCTAACTTCAAGCTAGAAAAGAGGGAAATGAGGGATGGAGAAAGGAAAGGATAAAGAAGGAGGGAGGGGAAAAGAGAGGAAGAGAAATAGAGGGAAGGAGGAAAAGAGGGAGGGAGGGAGAGGAGAGAGGTGAGAAGGTTAGTGGAGTTACATTTGCCTAATTATCTCAAGGCAGGTTTACAATACTGTAATTAAACAAACGAATTTTCCTACAACATATGTGTACCTTTATGCTAATAGAACAAAAATAGTAAAGAACAAAAACAAAACAAAAAACTTCCACTACACTATAAAGGACATCTTACCTTAAATGGGTTGCTAGGAAATTTGTTTCTAGAGTCCCATAAATTCCACAAGTGTAGACACAGTTGTGGCCTATCACACATAGTTAACTTTCAGTTAACTTACCTGCCTTAGATTTGGCAGCTGGTTTTTTTAATATTTCAGAATCTGCAGAATGTTTTTATTTCTCAAATATTTTCAAAATATCCCAGGGTGGAGGAAATCTCATAGCAACAAGATGCACTGGCCTGGGGCAGACCTTGACCCAGATGGGTTGGCAGAGAGCCAGCACCAGAGCTTGCCTGCCCTCGGATGGAAGAAGGAGAGTCAGGCATGGTGGTGCACACAGTACTCTTAGCCCTCAAAACACCGTAGAACTGAGAGTTCGAGGCCGCACTGGGCTGCACGAAAGGATCTTGCCTCATTCACCAAAAACCAGGGGTTGGAATACGGGGTGAGTGGGAGGGGGCTAATACAGTGCTGCCAACCATGAATTTTTTTCCTCATCCTGTCTGTTTCTTCCAGAAACAATAAGAAAAGATCATCACTTTAAGCCTCTGCTAATAAGGCAAGGTAAATAACCAGATATGACGTATTTTTAATGGCTGGGTGGATACAGCATTAGAGATTCGCTTTCCCCGAGGATAGAATAGGATGGAGAGGCCCGGAGGGCGCCAAGTATCTCGGGAAAGAGTAGACTCAGCCCGGTGGGGCTTCTCTACATGTGCATGGGTGCCCTGCTTGGCGCAGAAGTATCTCTAGAGTCCGGGTTCTTCTCAGCCCCTACGGGAACCCCCACAGCACCCTTGAGAGCAACAACTTGGCCATTGAATACTCTGTTTTCCTACAGGTTTCCAAAACCCTTCAGATTGCTGCTACTCCTATGCCTCGCGGATCCGGTGTTCAAATTTTATATATTATTTTCCAACCAGTGGTGGGTGCATCAAGCCAGGCATCATGTAAGTGCCAAACTCATTCATTGTGTGTTACGGGGAGGGGGATTGCCTCCAGTATTTTGCCTGGTGGATAGGCTTTTTGAAAAGGCCCATTCTTGGATCTCACCTTGGATCCTTGGGAAGGATACTTCAGGGTGTATAGAAGAAGGAGACAGCAGGCAAAAGACTGCCTGAGTCACTCCAAGAGTCCTTAGAGAATCTCACAGGCCTAGAGTAGGTCCAGAGAGGGAATGGTGCTCAGCTGCCTCCTGGAAAAAACAGACTGTTGAGTCAAAATCAGAGAGACTAGAAGATGAGGTCCCTTCCCTATTTACTAGAAACCTCTGTTTGTAATCTTTCTTCTCCTTTTTCTCCAGCTTTGTCAACAGGAAGAGGAACCAGATCTGTGCCAACCCCAGTGATTCAAAAGTTCAGCAATGCATAAGCACCCTGAAACAAGCCTCAAGACCTGGGAACAAAGTCATTGCTTGAGAAGGAGGGCTATATTGCCAACCACTTTCTTCTGTCTTTCCCAGTGACCACCTAGGAGGCTCTAAGCATTTATTTTGACAGATATTTAAAGCATTTATTCGTCTGTTCTGGTTTAAAGTAGCACATGTAGTTAACAGTAGTTAGATGGACTCAGCATAACACAACTACAGCCATCTTGAGTTGTAACCATCATGATTGTCTCTGAATAACTATTGAGTTTTCCTGCATAGTTCCTCAGCAGATTATAAATGGATGAACTACCAGAGTGGTCTTTAGGGCATTGGAATGTGTCTGGTTCTGATACGAGCCTAAGCTGGTGCATCTATCTGAAGTGGAACCCATTTGCCCCAGCCCATACATATGTCATCTTTGTGGGGACCCAGCTGTTCTTCCTGCTGCCCAAGAGCAGTAAGTGGTCCCAATAAAGTGCCCTCCATGTAGCCACAGGTCTGTCTGTCTCTCTTTCTCCAGATTCATAGCACTATGGGGCCAGTCTGAAATTGGGGTGATAGGGAAAAAGTATCTCACTCACTCACCTTGAATACAGGAGAGGCAGGGATCAGGTAACTTTGGATATCCAAAACAAAAGACATCATGATATAAATTTTTAAATTTCTAATAACACAGGCTATTCCAATGTAGACTTCATATCAAAGATTATTTTACTGAGAGAGCCACTAAATTGATTAAAATGGCTTTGGGGTTTGTCCCTGTTTAGTGGGGTTATAGGGTGATAGGAGTCTCTGAGAGTCTGAGAAACCACAGTGCCATCAGCCATGAACTCTGGCTTCCCCCAGCCTTGCACTTAAACTGCCCCGATAGTCTTTGTACTGCTATAATACACTAGATTATGCTCCTAAAAAATATACATTTGAGGGTAAAATGGCCAACTAGAGGCTACCTATGAGCCAGTCAAGTGGGGGACCAGAGCAAGAAAAAAATAGTTCATCCAGAACAAAAGCCAAGAAGAGCTTCAGAACTCTTGGAAGGAAACAAAAATGTACCTTGTTGGGGAGGGACCAGAGAATAACCAGCCCCACCCCCACCCCCGTGCAGAGAAGTGACTGATAAATGCAGCCTAAGTCTGTTGTTCCCCAGTGGGGGGAGGGGAACAGCTTCCAGCCACAGGGCAAGCCTGCTCCTCTCACAAGGCTCAAATCTGGTTGTAGGTTTTGCTGAGACAGTAATTTCTCACTTGGATGGATCAGTGGTGGAGAGAAATGGAGATACCATTTGTTCACCTACATGAATGGGAAGGCAGCAGACAGGTGCCATCTTGAGATAAAATCAATTATTTAAAACTGAGCTATGCTGAGATCCTGAGACCAGGGAACATCTACCAGTTGGAGAGCTGTAAGTTCTCCACAACCTCCAGGTGAGGGAAGTTGATGAGCTGTAGAGAGCTGGAGAGCTGAACATGGGCAAGCTGAAGGTTCAAGTCCCAGGAGGTCAGCTCAGGCTGAGACGTACATAAGAGAGATAGTCCTACCCTCAGTGACCAGAAACTGAGCCATCAACTAAGAATAATCCTAGATTTGAGAGTTCTGGGCCTGAAGCAGGCAGATGGATCAAATCCTATATCCAGATATTGTTCACTGACACAAAGCCCAAGAACTCTGAAATCCCAAGTGTGTACAAGATACCCATATACTGACAAAAAACCACATGGCAGGGGAGATGATTTATTTTAAGGTCTAAGTCACAGTCCACCATAGCAGGGAACTCACTGTGGCAGGAGTCCACACATCCATAGTCAAGAACAGAGAGAAACAAATGCATGTATGTTCACTCTGCTTGCTTAGTACTCAGCTAGCTTCCTCTACTCATACACAGCCCAGGGCCAGCACCTGAATCAGTACCATCCACTTTCAAGATGGGTCTTCCAACTCCAATCGACAATCGAGACATTGTCCGACATACCCATGCCCACCTTTTCTAGACAATTCCTCATTAAGACTCTCTTCCCTAGTGACTCTAGGTTATATCAAGTTGCCAGTTAAACTAGTGCCAACACAGTAGCCACAGTGGCATTCCCCCGGCAGGGTGATTCATACTCAAGAGGTCTTGAAAGTATGAAGATAGGTCCTCTGCTTAAACCAACCTCAGCTCTGTGGTTTCCTCCCACATTCCCAACACACTTGAAAAATACCCGACAGACCAGCTTAAACCACCCCCAGGTTACAATCCGGCAAGTCTTTGGAGGATGAGAGAATCTGCCTAGACCACAGAGGGAAACCTATGAGGCCTGCAGAACCTCTGTCCTGAAAAGAACGGGAACTGCCAAAGAGAAGACATTGCAAGCACACCAATATATAGATTCAACACCAGCCTGGACCACAGAAAATACAGGACTACAGCTCAACTGGTCCTCTCTCGTTTCCATGCATAAAAGAGAATACAAGCAAGCATCTGAATTAAATTAGGAGCTTCATATCTGATATGAAAGAGGAATTGAATAAGGGTATAGAACCAGTGAAGAAAAACCACAGTGAACTACTGGAAATCCAAAATACAATTAAGTCAAATTAAAAGATCTGCAGAAAGCCTTATTAGTAGAATCAGCCAAGGGAAGAGCAGCATGTTTGAGCTTGAAGATAAGGTACAGGGACAAGAACCTGTCAAGGAAAAAGATAAATTAGCAAAAAAGAAAAAAAAGAGTTGGACTTTCAAGCTATTTGGGACCTGGGAAGAAGATAAAATCTAAAAATCACATGTGTAAAAGAGTGAAGAATTCCTTTCTAACTGCATAGAAAACACTGAGATCATAGCAGTAATTTTCCCTAAATTAGGCAAAGAAACATCTATTCAGAAAAGAGAAGGCATTTAGAACACCAAATAGACAAAGATCTGAAAAGAATATCCTCATGCCATATTATAATTAAGCCACTAAATATTCACAACAAAGAAAATGTATAAAAAGTATCGAGAGAAAAACAGTAAGTCATATGTCAAGGCAGGCCAATCATAATAACAGAGTTTTCAAAAGAAATTGTAAAGAACACAAGAGCTTGGAATGGTGTTTCTCAAGTTTTGGAAGACATCAACTTCCAGCCCAAACCAATATTGCCAGCAAAGTACTCTGTCATAATTCAAAGAGAAAGTAAACACTTTTCATGATAGAAACAGGCATATAAAACTCACAAAGGCTGAACCCAGGTACTCTTCAAAAGCAACAAGTGCTCTAAACCAATGAGCTGTCTCTTTAGACCTCTCTTCCTATTTTACTTGACCACATCAGAATCAAACTACAAATAAACAGCAAACATGTATGAACTCAAGGGGATTAAGTAACTCACTACGTAGACCAGGCTAGCCTCAAACTACAAGAGATGTCCCTGCCTCTGGTTCCCAGGCACTGAAATTAAAGGTGAACACACCCACATCCAGCCTCAGCTGCTTCTCCTGATAGAGGTTCTTTTTTTTTTTTTTAAGATTTATTTATATATTATTTATACAGTGTTCTGCCTGCACACAGAAGAAGGCCCCAGATCTCACTATAGATGGTTATGAACCATCATGTGGTTGCTGGGAATTGAACTCAGGACCTCCGGAAGAGCAACCAGTGCTCTTAACCTCTGAGCCATCTCTCCAGCCCCTGACAGATGTTCTGAAGAGATTTTTTCCTCTTAGGCTAAAGGATGTTAAAAATATCTAAAGGGTCTGGAGAGTTGGCTCAGTGGTTAAGAGCACTTGCTGCTCTTGCAGCAGACCTGGGTTCGGTTCTCAGCACCCACATGGTGGCTCACAACCGTCTGTAACTTCAGTTCCGGGAGACCTAACTCCCCTGTGTGTGTGGTACACGTATATACATGCTGGCAAAACACTCGTGCATATAAAATAAAATAAAACCTTTAAAATTTAAAGAAGAGTAAATAAAGGAGTGATAGCAATTTACATCTCTCTAATAGGACATATAAGTTTACTTTTATAATCTGTCTTTCTCAGTCTGCTGTGAATGGGCATAAGCCTTAACTCTTCCTCAGGGGTCTAGAAGGATCCCTCACTTCCACCCTGCGGTCAGCGCTTAAGGATTGAATGAACTTCCTAGAAGGAGAAATCCTTCTGGAAATACTTGCTCTCTCTGACTGAATCAATTGGAACAGTTTGGAAAGCCCCAAGTCACCTTTGCCCTCTACTTCCTGTTGTACACTGAGCCTTGTTCCTTCTTTTAGAACTAGCGTATTGAGTATCATGTAGTCAAAGAACGACATTATGAGCTGTAACCTGGGACTTCCTGATCCTCTTACTTTTATAAACAGCAAGGCAGGGCAGGGACCCGTGAGCAGTCCGAAGGGCAACTGTATCTGCTGGAGGATGAAGCCGTTTACTACTGCCCTCTCCTTCCTCATTCTTGCAGCTGCTCTCGGATTCTGGGCACAGATCGTACATGGTGAGTTCATGGTAACTGGAAGTCTTGGGAGAAGCCCCAGAAGGGCAGCATTGGACGCTGTGAATAATCTCTACCCCAGACAGAGCAATGGAATTCACTTAGTACAGATCTGCCTCTGGCTACAGCCTCCGGATCTGTGGTTCTCAACCAATGGGTCACGACCCTTTTACCCTTTTGTGGGGGTTGAATGGTCTTTTCACAGGAGTCACCTAAGGCCATCAGAAAACACATATATTTACATTACAGTTCATAACGGTAGAAAATTGCAGCATGCTATGAAGTAGCAATAAGATAATTTCATGGTTGAGATCACCACAACGTGAGGCACTGTAGTGAAAGGTCGCAACATTAAGGAGGTTGAGAACCAGCGCTCTGGGTCTTGGTACGCAGATGAGCTGCTTCCATGTGGAGAAGTAGTTATTATCCTCTTTCATAGCTGGAAATATTTGACAACTTCTCCTAGCTAATCCTAGCTAACACTTTCATTAGATCAGAAGAACTATAATTAAATTGTAAATTTGTGGAAATAAACATAAGGCTCTGTGATGCTAGGACTATTAGACATCAGTTAGTATAAAACCATCATTTTTTTTTTTTAAGGCACTGGGACCAGCCAGGCAAATGGCTCACCCAAGCTGAGTTTATAGAGGTGGCTTAGAGCTCCACACAGAGAGATCCTGTGAGATAAAAGAACGCGTTCCTTAACTTTTCTGAGAAAGAGAGGTGCGCCATGCACCACAGAGCCAAGGAGAATATCGGACTTGGGCCGGGAGGGATAAGCAATAGAAACAGAGAAAGGTGTGTCATATTCTTTGTTGGGGATACTGGGAAAGAGGCAGGGCATAGTGCAGGGGCAGGGTACAGCTGAGACATCCTAAACTGAAGAAGTCTAGCAGACTTTGGTTACACAGATGGTCTCTAATTGCCCAGGATCTAACTCCAAGAAGAGTTAGGGCAAGGGAAATGCCAGCATGGTGTTTGAGGGTGAGATAAAGGCAGAGGTTGGGCACAGAGCTCAGCATGAGTTGGATTGAACCCTTTATTAAGAATCAGCTAACCTCTCCTTGCTCTCCAGATTTAAATTATGTCAGAATACCATAAGATGCAGAAAACAAAATACGATCAGTAGAGTCACCTTGCTGTTCTGTTTATCTCAGGATAATTTATTTATCACTCCCTGTGTGCAAGGCAGCTGCTGTTCAGCTTTATAGATGTTGATTCATTCCTCCTCCGGAGTAAAAAAAAAAGAAAAAATGGAAGTTCACCATTTTTGTAGAAAAAAAAAAAAGTTACAAGAAAAGCAATTTTGCATAGCTTTGTATATCATTTTACAAACCAGAAAACTGAAAACCGAAACAGAGAAGCCATCAATAACTTAAGACTACAAGCAGTAAAGGGCAAAATTAAGAGGCAGGTTAGTAATGATTTGTTTAAGAAAAGAAGATGCTATTTAAGATGTACTTTGGAAGCTGTGGTTCTCCTCCTTCCTGGGGGGCTGTTGGCCATTAGCCTACAAAGACAGGAGGAGCAGAAGGTGAGGCACAGGACTCGGAAGCCCCTGTGTGGAAACAGCCTTGGGAACCTCTTCAGTGAGATAGTTCAACTTTATTCGGGAAGAACAAAAGCTATATACCCCTTGGGGAGTGGAAGGAGTCCTCCCAGGATAGGTGTACATAATTGGTTGGAAGTAGGAATTTCAAGGACAGTTGATTTGCATTAGGCAGCACTCTCCTGTCATATGAATGGGAGCACAGTACCTAATTATCCTATAGAGGCAGGGAGGGGAGAGCTATCCAAAGGCCACATAACAGATGTGGTTAGGGGCTTCTATCCCTAAAGACCAGGTGAGGTGAGGCAGAAAGTAGGAGGCCCTGCTGGAAGAGGAGGTCCTCCATCCAGCACTGAGCTCAGAATGGTTATCCAGAGTGGGAGGACTGCGGAACAGCAGGGTCCTTCCAACAGAAGCCACTCATATCACATCAAGCATGTTAAAAACCAGCCATACACCTTATCTCACAATTCATCCACAACTATTAAAGAAATGATACAAAGGGCTAGCTGTCTTTTCCTAGTTAGCACAATGCAAATTCCCAATCCTTTAGCAACAGTCTTTGGGCTTAGATATATTTGGGGATGCAGGATTATTTTGGATTTCAAAAAGTGATACATTGCTGGACATCACTTAACATCCCTGATGATTTCTACAGTGTATCCTTTAATCAGATGTTTATATAAACTTAGACTATTAAGAGCCTCATTTCACTTGAAAGGAGTTTGTGCTTCAGAGTCAGCAGAATGTTTTTTTTTTCTTTTTTTAATTAATTTTTATTTTTTATATTAATTACAGTTTATTCACTTTGTATCCCAGCTATAGTCCCCTCCCTCCTTCCCTCCCAATCCTACCCTTCCTTCCTTATCTCCTCCTATGCGCCTCTCCAAGTCCATGGATAGGGGAGGTCTTCTTCCCCTTCCATCTGACCCTAGCTTATCCAGTCTCATCAGAACTGGCTGCATTGTCCTCCTCTGTGGCCTGGCAAGGCTGCTCCCCCCATCCGGGGGGGAGACATTCAAAGAGCTAGCCACTGAGTTCATGTCAGGACAGTCCCTGCTCCACTTACTGGGGAACCCACTTGGATACTGAGATGCCATGGGCTACATCTGAGCAGGGGGTCCTTGGTTGGAGTATCAGTCTCGGAAAAGAACCCTGTGCCCAGATAGTTTTGTTCTGTTGCTCTCCTTGTGAAGCCCCTGTCCTCTCCAGGTCTTACTATCTACCCCTTCTTTCCTAAGATTCCCTGCACTCTGCCCAAAGTTTGATCAATCTCCACTCAGAAAGACAAATGAGATGGACATTGGAAGAAGGAGAAAACAGGAAACAGGACAGGAGCCTACCGCAGAGGGCCTCTGAAAGACTCTACCCAGCAGTATCAAAGCAGATGCTGAGACTCATAGCCAAACTTTGAGCAGAATGTTTTTTTAAAGATCCCAGAAAAGTCTCATGACACCAAAGGGGACAAATGGGCCTAGAGACAGACCTGAGTACCCGAGTGTGTGATGGCAGTCAAGCATCAGAGTCTGTCTGCCTTGGCGAGAGTGAGGGTGCGGATGACAAGTGGAGATGCTGAGACGCTGATGCTGCTCTCTGCGCTCTGTTTCTTCCAGCAACAGAGACAGAAGAAGTTCTGAAGGCAATGGAAGGACTTGAACCTCGAGTGTTTTCCAGGGGTAAATACTTCATTACGGCTTGTTTTGAGAAGCACCAGATGGTTGCATTGTCCTCCCTGGTGACAGAACAGAACAAGGACACGAGGGTGGGTGGGAATGCCCTCCAGAAATCACCAAGAATGTTAAGGAATTTCCAGCAGCAACTCCAGGAAGATCAGGATGGGCCATGACTGTTCCCTGTGCACTGATCTGCCCACTCGGGGCAGAAGTTGCTTATAGCTGATTTGATTGGCTTCCCTTCTATGGGCACACTCCTAGCCCTATCGTGGTCCACTTTAGGCCCACCCAAGGGTGTGAAAGGATATGACAATGAATGCAGAGTGAAGACGAGGCATCCCCTGAGTCAGGGGCCTTCTCTACCTCCACCCCAGGTACACACACACACACACACATACACACACAAACACACACAAACACACACACACACACACACACACACACACACACACACACACACACACCACTCTTGAGAGCAATGACCTGGCGCCTGAGTGGCCCTGTGTCTTCCTACAGGATTTGCTACAGCTGCAGACTGCTGCTACTCCTATGCCTCACGGATCCGGTGTTCAAGATTTATATATTATTTTCCAACCAGTGGTGGGTGCATCAAGCCAGGCATCATGTAAGTGTCAAACTCACTCATTGTGTGCTATGGAGAAGGGGAACCTCCAGGATCTTAGATGACCTGGTGGATAGGCTTTTTAAAAAGGCCCATCCTTGGATCTCACCAGGTGAAAGGGAAGATACTTCAGGGTGTAGAGAAGGAGACAGCAGGCAGAAAACTGCCTGAGTTACTCCATGATCCTTAGAGAATCTCACAGGCCTAGAGAGGGCCCCAGAGAGGGAATGGTGCTCAGCTACCTCCTGGAAAAAAACAGACTGTTGAGTCAAAATCAGAGGGTCCAGAAGATGGGAGACCCCTTCCCTTTTTACTAGAGACCTCTCTAATCTTTCCTCTCTTTTTTTAAATTCAGCTTTATTACCTATAAGAGGAAGCAAGTCTGTGCCGACCCTAGTGATCAAGAAGTTCAGAAGTGCATAGCAAGCCTGGAGCCAGAGCCATGACTACAGACCTACAAAGTGTATTGAGAAAAAGAGTAAATAGTGCTAGCCACCGTCTTCCCCAATTACTGCTTAGAAAGCTCTGAGTGTTTGTCTTTATAGATATATAAAACATTCATGTTTCTGTTCTGCTTTAAAGCATCACATCTAGCTTTGTCACAGAGGGGAAACTTGGCTGTGCCATGCCTGGTGATCTGAAAATGGAGAAGTGCATGAAAGGCCTGAAGCTGACCCCAGTGACCTCACATAACATTTGATTAAGATAAAAATGGCAAGGGCTGGAGAGATGGCTCAGTAGTTAAGAACACTGGCTGTGCTTTCAGAGGTCCTGGGTTCAAGTCCCACTAACATGGCAGCTCAAACTATCAGTAATTCCACTTCCGGGGGGGGGAACTGATACCCTATTCTGCCCTTTGATTAACAGTATTTACAGTATTTTTAATGAGTTCAGCTTACCCTGGCTAGAACCATCTTGAGCTGTCACCATCAGGACTGTGCCAGAAAAACTCTTTGAGTATTCCTGCATAGTTTCTCAGCAGATTACTAGTGTATAAACTCTAAGAATGATCTGTGGGCCATTGGAATGTGTCTAGCTCTGATATTTTGCTAAGGCAAGCCAGGCACATTCAACTAGGATGAAATCGATTCTGCCTTAGCCCATACATATGCCTGCCTTTGTGAGGACCCATCTTCCTGCTACCCGAGATCAGTATGCCCACTAATAAAGGGTGGTGGGAGCCCATCCGTGCAGCCACAGGTCCGTCTGCCTCTTTTTCTTCAGTTTCACAAGACCGTGGGCTGAATTGGGCTGTTGGGGGGAAAACATATCTCACTCACCTTGAATCTGCAGTAGAAGAGAAACAGGGCCAATCATGTAACTTTGGATCTTTTCTTTCAAAACAAAAGACATCATTTTTAAGACAACATTTTTAAGGTGCTAAGAACACAGCTTATTCCAATGTAGACTTCATATCGAAGATGTATTTTCCCACTACTGAGGGAACCATTAAACTGATCTAAAAATGTTTGGAGGTTGTCCCTGTTTGGTGGGGTCCTCAATTCTCTTCCATTGATCAGTTTGTTTTTTTATCATGCTATCTTTATTACTGGGGCTCTGTAAATGATAATCTCTACAGCAGGGTTTCTGTTATTCAGGGATGTTGGGTTATCAAAGACATTTTGTGTTTCCATATGAATTTTAAGATTGTTTTCAAGTTCTGTGAAGAACTGCATTGGAATTTTGATGGCGGTTGCATTGAATCTATGGATTATTTTTGATCAGATGGCCATTGTCACAATATTAAGCCTACCAGACTGCGAGCATGGGAGGTCTCTCCATCTTCTGAGGTCATCTTCAATTTCTTTCTTCAGTATTTTAAAGTTTTCATTGTACATGCCTTTTGCTTTATCGGTTAGGTTTATTCCAAGGTAATTTTTTGTGGCTTTTGTGAGTGGGATATTCCCCCTGGTTTCTTTCTCAGTGTGATTGTCATCTGCACATAGGAAGACTACTTATTTTTTTATATGTACATGCTGTATCCTGACACTTTGCTGAAAGTGTTTATCACTCTATGAGTTTTCTAGTGTAGTCTTTGGGGTCTTTTATGTATAGAATCATATCATGTGTAAATAAAGATAATTTTACTTCTTCCTTTCCTGTTTGTATCCATTTTTTCTCCTTCTCTTGCCTTACTGATCTAGCAAAAACCTCAAACATTATACTAAAAAGAAGTAGAGAGAGAGTGTGTGTGTGTGTGTGTGCGCCAATGACTTATTGATTTTAGCAGAAATACTTCCAGTTTGTCTCCAGTTGGCATGATGTTGGCTACAGGCTCGTTGTTTATTTCCTTTAGTACACTGAGATGGTGTCCCCTATACCCTAATGGCTTCGGGGCTTTAATCATGAAGAGCTGCTGGGTTTTTATCACAGGCCTTTTCATGATCACATGGTTTCTCTCATTGAGTCCATTTCTGCAGTGGATTACATGTATTGATTTACGTGTGCTGAACATCCCTGCCAGTCTGGGATGTGGCTCTTCATGATTTCAGTGAACAGGTTATTTTTCAGCCCTCATTTGCTTAAACCACGCTGTTGTCCTTTGGTGCCTACCTTGATCCATCAAAAATCTCATATGGATTTTGGTTTCTTCATAATTTTTTTCTTCTAACAAACAGAACCCTGGGTTTTGCTTTAACATTATTCTGTGTTTCCAGTCACACCATGGAATTCATGGTAGCTATTTCATTCTAAGGAAAGTTCTTCCAGAACCTTCTAACTTTTCTTTCAATTCAGAGAAATTATGCTGGACCTGCCAAAACCAAAGCCATCACACTATAACACCTCCTTCTTACGTATGCCAGAGTTCAGGGCCCCTTGATAGCAGAACCACTGTTTCTCTCTTCCTTGAGCTCATCTTTCATTTTGCTAGAATATACCCTTGAACTTCCTTTTTCTGGACAAGATGACAAAGGCAGCATTCTCCCTTGCCCCTGGGGGATCCAGGCCAGGAACATTCATCTTCCTGGCTGGCCATGTTTGTACCCCTTTCTAGAGCTTCAAGTCTAGCACCAGGGTTACAGGCAATTACAACAAGAAAGGACTTGCTCTGCGACAGAGAATGATGGCACCAGCCTTCAGACTCGGCAGCTCATACACCCAGGACCAGCACCCCTAATTACAGTGCCCAGGAGAGAGGGCAGCGCCCACACCAGCTGGGTAGACCATGCTGTTGCGTTGGAACCGGACTTTGTAGATCTTGGTGCTTCTCCCAAGCCTTCCTGACAATTCTGGGCATGACCCCAAATCTCCTAAGTGACTTTTTGCTTAAATCAACCAGAGTCAGTTTCTACTCCTTTGCAACAAAAGAATTACAAACTGATAAAAGAATAAGCTTTGTAGGACTTTGAACTTCTAGCTGTTTTTGTTTAAATTTGAAGAAGGAGTTGGCAGAATATAAAAGTCTGCATTCAGACCTCTTAGGATACTGCAGACATCTCTAGTTATGGTCTAGCAACTAATATAAGCCCCAAATTCCAAAGCCAATTAATTTTTTTATTCCTTTTAGACATTTTAGGAGATATTAGGTCCTTATCCTTGATGTGTGTGTGTGTGTGTGTGTGTGTGTGTGTGTGTGTGTGTGTGTGGTGTGTGTGTGTAAATTTGTTGAGTGAACTTTAAAATAGTGATGATGAAGCTGGGTGTCGTGGCACACATTTTTTAATCTCAGCACTCAGGAGGTAGGGGCAGGTGGATCTCCTGAGCTCGAGGCCAGTCTGGCTAAACAGAGGAAACCCTGTCTGGTGGGTGGCAGATGGTAGTGACAGCTAAATACACCTGAGATGCCGAGAGCCTGGTAATTGCGTGGTCCTTGAAGTTGGATGACAGTCAATGTGTCCCACAATGGCTGTCTCACTCCTGGGATCAACAACGGCTCGTTATTTTACTCAGTCCATAAGGTGGGTGCCTTAGTAGTCCAAATCTGGTGCTAGAAGCCTGGAAGTTTCCTGGACAGCCACTCGTGCCTAGTCCCCGATGAAAGCTTGGAAACGCTGGGTTCTGCCATCAGTGATGGAATCGGCGGCTGCAGCAACAAGGGAAACCAGCTGGATGGTAAGAAGGAAGCCAAGCCATGGAAAGGCAAAATAGTCTTGACCTCCTGAGGCTCCTACATCCACCTCCCCTGTAGGGGATGATAGGCTTATGCCACCACAAACGGTGTATGCAACACTCAAAGTCTTCATGTGTGATAGACAAGTACTTCGCAAGGAAACTACATCCTCAGCCCTGATTTCATTGTTTTACTTCGTCCTGCTCACCATGAATTTATTTCTCGTTTTATATCTGTGAGGTCCGTTTTATATTTGTGAGGTCCCATTTGTCAAAAATCAGCCTTATTATATTCTGAGCAACTGGAGTCCTAATCAGAAGGTCTTTGCCAATCCCTGTTTCTTAAAGTGTAACCCATATTTCCTCTAGCAGTCTCTGGACCATTTAGAGTTGATTTTTGTACAAGGTAAGAGATGAAGACCTAGTTTTATTCTTCTATACACAGGCATCAGTTTTTCAAGTACCATTTGTTGAAGATGCTGTCTTCTCTCCAATGTGTATTTTTGCATATATGTTTTGAACCTTTTTTTTTTTGAGACAGCTCCATAGTATATTTGAAGTTGGATATAGTAATAACCTCAGCATTATGCTTTTTGCTAGCCAGGGTCTTCAGGACCTCTGCCCATGATTCAATCCCCTATTCCTTCCTCTTCTAGCTCCTCGTGCTGTGGCTAGCAAGTCCATCCCTAGTCTCTCCTGATGTGTCCTGGACCTCTGCCTGTAGCTTAATTCCTTCCTCTAATCCCTCCTTTCACGTAGGGCAGGAAGTCCAGCCCTATTCCCTCTCCTGCTCAGCGATTGGCTGTAAGCTGCTTTATTGGCATATCAGGGGACAATTGGAGAGCATTATTTACACAGCATTGAGGCAGGAGATGCTCAGTACAAGGATTACAACCAGATATGGGGGAGTACAGAAATCAGCATTTGAATTACACAATAACCTTATGCCTACATCTCCATTCTTACATTTAAAAAAAAAATTATGGTTGACTTTGACTACATAATCCATTCCTCTCCTTTTGATCTCCTGCTGTCTATACTATCTGGTCTGTTGGTGACTGATGGTGACAGACGGGTAGGGAGGCTGAGATAATCGTGCTTGGGTTTGGAAAAGACTTCTGCAGCTAAGGCAGAGACAGCACTGGGTGCTGAGGCCACTTTGTGCCTCAGCAGCAGTGGCTGAGATGCTACGACGTGGCCAGTTCCTAACAACAGTGATCACAAAGAATCCCTCTGAGGTAGAAATGTACTGATGATGCCTCTTTTGCAGGCCTTTAGATAGAGGAGGTACCAGGTTAAGTTAGAGAGCGTCTCTGCTGGCTACTAGCCAGATGTATTCCGAGCGGCTGTACCTGCTGTGGCTTCAGCAGAAGGGACTTGGTAGTGTAGCATGACAGAAGCAGCTGGGCTGGTGGTACAACAGTCATGGCCATTCTGTTTCACTGACTATAATCCCCCACTTGTACACAAAGTCTTCTATTCTGCCACCTTGCACTGATGTCTCTTCAACCCCATTCCTTCATCTTTTAAAAATATGTGTTTAGAGCACAATGTCTGAGTTGCTTGCTGTGCTTGAGAACACTCAGTTCAGAGGCTAAAGGTGCCACACGCATGTCCTAGCACTTATGTCCTTTGCTGTTTCCCCATTACCCATCACACTATCATCAGTCCCTGCTGCTGGACCTTCTCATCACCATGGGATATGATTGATGGAAGAGGGAGGTGAGCACCACGGTCTCCCTTTCTACTCCCTGACTCAACTCATGATGTGACTGACTCCTTCAGGAACGCCTGAGTTTGTAAAACCTCTGGCTGACTGCTGTCCTATGTACACAGTACATATGTAATACTATGAGAAAGAGTTGCGGAAGAAACTGGTGGCAGGATGCAAAGAGGCCCTCAGCTGCCACCTGCCAGTGATGTATACATTTTCCTGCAGGTATTTCTGTGCAGATGAGAGGGAAAACTGGAGCAGGAACCAGATGCATAGAAATTTGTCCTAGAATCCTTTGGGTTGTAGATAAGGGTTTGGGCAGGGACCACAGCTATGTGCCACCTACCTGGCTAAAACATGTTCTATTTATCTCTCTTTTCCAGTGTGTGCGTGTGTAGATGGGGCATGATCCTCATCACTCTCCCACCTTATTCACTGAGGCAAGGTCTCTCAGTCAAACCCAGAGATTCTGATGTGCTCATCCTGCTAGCTAGATTGCTCTTGGGATCCCCAGTCTTCACCTTCCAAGGCTTGAATTATAGGTGGGCCACCACACCTACAGGGTAGTTATGTGGGTTCTAGGGATTCAAACACCTGTGCACACGCTTGAGTGGCAAGCATTTTAACCACTGCGCCATCATCTTACCTCCTAAAACATGCCAAAAAGGCACCTTTCTTATCCTTCACCTGCTGCTATGAGCTCTGT